GGGGTGATAGGGGGTTTGAGATGGATGGGAGGATTATAATAAACAATACAATAGAGCCAAAAGAATTCTCATGATCAATTTTAGTTACAATGTGGTGATGTCAAGGCCATTGGGACAAGGCTTGAATTAACTAGTATATTATAATTCCAAAAGAGGTAACCATTTTTTCCAATTTTTCTGAAAATTTACTTTAAAAGTATCTATTTTACTATAAGAGATATGTTGTTGTATATGAAAATGTTCCTTGATATTATTTAGGAGAGCATTTAAACTAAGAGATTTGTACAGACATCTGGACTTATAGACATAATGTTTAATAAGAATTAGAATTTCATTACCTACCGGATTAGTATTAGGATTGGTAATTCCAAATTAGTATGTTTCTTTATTTACCCCAAAAGGAATCAGTAGAATATCTAGCAATGCCTCAAATTTTTCTAACAGATTCTGTACTTCTATGCACTCCCATAAACAATGAAATATTGTCTCCCTTTCCATATTACATTGATAACATAATGGACTAGGAAATAAATTTATTTTGAAAAGAAATGTATTTGTTACCAAGATATGATGTATAATTCTTAGCTGGAACCACTGTAATTTTGCACTCTTTGTAATATCAAAAGGAATTCGGAGTAAGTATTTCCATTTCTGGTCATCAAAGTCAAATTCTTCCCCCCATTTTTTAATACCAGTAGGTGTTGTCGCTGGTTTAATAATGGTGTTGTAAAAATCTTTAGATCCTTTTTTACTTTTGAAGAAAATTTCAAGCAGGAGAGGTATGAAAGGCTGAGAGAGTCCCTGTGGTTGAAAATCATGTTTCCTCAAAAACTGTTTAATAGCAGTGATCAAGCCAAGATACTCTAAATAGTTAGTTTTAATTGGGAACTTTTGACAAAACTCTTTGAAGGTGAAGAAAGACAAATCTTCTGAATTTTTAACAAGGTCATTAATAGTATAAATACCAGAATTAAACCATAGTGGATAAAAAATGTAATTATTTCCAACTTTAATATCATTATTATACCATAAAGGTGTTTTCAAAATTGACTCAGGAGTATAGTACTTCATGGACAAACAATTATTCATTTTAACCCAACATTTAAACACATCTTTCCAAAATTTATTGCCACAATTTATATTGCATAAATGAACATACTCTCTTCCACAGTTAAACCATTTCTTTATATTAATTATAGAATTCAGCAGAACTTTCCATTTTCCTGAGGATTGAGTGATTCTACTAATCCATCCTAGGTTAAGGGAGTCTATAAAACTGCCTACATCTATCATTTTTAGCCCCCCATCTATGTAGTTTTGAATTAAAACATCTTTTGTTATTCTATATGATTTTCCATTCCAAAGAAATTCAAAAATGGCTGAGTTTAGTTTGGCAAGAAACTTATCTGTAGGATCAGGCAGAGTAATGAATAAAAAATTGAATTGGGAAATTAAGAGCGATTTTATAATATTAATTTTACCAATTGGAGTAAGATTCCGTTTTTGCCACATATTAATAAGTGATTTCAGTTTAACTAATTTTTTGTCATAGTTCATCCTAGTAATTTCAGTTAAGTCAACCGAGAAATCAATGCCTAAAAAAGTGAATTTGGTATTACCCCAAAGCAGATTCAATTCAGGAAGGAAAGATTCATCACTATACTTTTTGCTACCTATAACTTGTGTTTTATTAGTGTTTATATTTAGCCCAGAAATTTTTGCAAAAGTATTTAATTGAGTAATTGATTCCTTGAGTGATTTTTCTGAGCCGTCAAGTATAAGACCGGTATCATCTGCATATTGTGCGTTTAGAATAGGTACATTTTCAATTTCTATACCTTTTATGCTTTCATTTGCCCTTATTTTTGCTGCTAACACTTCGACACATAAAATAAAAATATATGGGGCGACCGGGTCGCCCTGTCGACACCCGCGCTGAATCTCGACAGTGCCAGATAGATTGCCCCCTTGGTTGATGGAAGAGAAAACATTAGTGTGCATGATTTGTACCCACTTTCTAATGTCCCACCCGAAATTGAAGTACCCCAAAACTTTATCAATAAAATCCCATGATATCGAGTTAAAAGCTTTTTCAAAGTCCACCATAAGTAGCATTCCTGGAATATCTAATTCTTCAACATAAACCATAACATCATAAATAGTCCTAATATTTTCACCAATATACCTCCCAGACAAAAAACCTGTCTGTTCTTCATTTATGAGCTTACTCAACACTGATTTCATCCTACATGCGTTTACTCCTGAAGCTATTTTGTAAGAAATATTTAATAAGGAAATTGGTCTCCAATTTTTCAGAAAATGACGAGGCTTATCTCCCTTTGGAATACATGTTATTGTATCATGTCTCTGAGTAATAGAAAGTTGACCAATTGAAAAACTAAAATTAATTGAACGAACAACAAAATCACCAATAAATTTCCAGAAAAAATTCTGATGTAAAACCATCTGATCCCGGACTCTTATTATTTTTCATATTTTTAAAAATTTTACCAGCTTCTTCAACTGTAATCAAGCCTTCTAACTTCCTAGATTCTGTGTTGCTTAATTTTGGTATCCCACAACCCTGGAGGTGATAATCTAGATCAACATCATCAACTTCCCGAAATTTATACAAATTTTCATAGTAAAGTTGAACTTCATTTAAAATATCCCCCTGGTTTGTAACAATAGTCCCATTATTTTTTTGAATTTTCGGAATAATCTTAGAAGTGAAGTTTCTATTTTCCAAGTTAAAGAAATATGCAGTTGGTTTTTCCCCCTCCTCAATCCATTTAGCTCGTGACCTAATCAGGCTACCCTGTATCTTTCTTAAACGTAAAGCCTCTAATTCTTGTTTTTAACTATCTAACTCCTCTTGATCTGGATTGGAGCTAGCTTCTATAGTTTCTATATAATTTTCATTAAATTATTCTCTTGGTACTTCTGTTGATTTTTCCTAAAAGATGCAAAAGCTATCGATTTACCTCTTATTTCCATAAGAAAAGTCTCTAAGAATAGTTGGTCATTGATTAAAAACTGAATCTCACTATTAGGAATAAGTTCACTAGAATTTATATTATAAACTGGCAAACAATATTGTAACTACACATCATCTATACATTTTTTTACCATATCAACATACTCAGGTATATACAACAAAGAGTTATTAAACTTCCAAAGACCCCTCCCCCTTTTAAATTCATTTAACTGTAATGCTATAACTGTTGGTGAATGGATTGATCTATAACTAGGTTCAATGGTTGCTTTTCTAACAGAAGATAACAGAGAATCAGTAATAAGAAAGAAATCTAATCTGGCCTGTTTTAAGGGGTTTTCCTTCGCCAAGTAAATCTCTTTGTATCTGAATGAAGTTCTCTGTAAATATCAATGAGATTATAAGTGTCGTTAATTTCCAAAACCCTTTCCCTAGCAGCAGCATTATTAATATTTCTATATGTGTTATCATAATCCATATCGGGATTTAATACTAGGTTGAAATCACCACAAACTACTATATTATTGTTTCCAAAACTATCTATAGTATTAGAGACTTGACTATAAAAATCTGGACTATCATTATTTGGTCCATAAAGATTGATCAGTGTTATTCTAGTACCCTCAATATCAATATCAATACCCAGAAAATTACCATTCAGATCCCGCTTTTCTTTATAGACTTTACTTTCAAAATTATTGTTCAATAAAATTGAGACTCCACGCGAGTTTGATGAAAAAGAACTAAAATAACTCTTAAAACCCCATTCACTTCGGATAAAATTTTCCTGTTCTGAAGAAAAGTGTGTGTCTTGTAAACAATAGATATGGTAATTTTTGTCCCTCATATAAGAAAAAACACCCTTTCTTTTCTGAGTTATGTGATAAAAATGGCTTATATGAGAATGAATATAACTTTGTTTGATACCTTGATTGGATCGGGATCCCCAATGTTAAAACAGTGGGGAAACTGACCCGATACTACAGCACCACAACACACAGTGTTCCATCATGTTAACACATTGCCAAACGTTAAAAATGATTACAATGGAAACATCAAGCAAAAAAATCAGCTTCATCTTTTTTTATTATATTAGAATAGATTATAGATTTAATAAAAAATTACATGTTCATAGACAATACATAGTGCCTTCAAAATATCTACCCGCCAATAAATATATTATCCAATTGTGGAATGATATTGAAATCAATAATACATTATATCCATATGCATAAAGTACTTGTAGCACAAGGTTAAAGCCAAAATAGACGTCCTTTAGATAAATAAGTAAAATAACACCAAACAGTACAAAAATGAGTACGCTGACGAATATGTTTCCTTTTGAATTCACAAAACAAGAACAAGACAAAAATTAATGTTCAATGTTTTATTTGTTATACAGTGTGAATAAATAAGATGTTTGTTCATCATGCAAAAGCGATTTTCAATTTTGTATAAAATAAATCTTCCTAGAAACAAAAAATAGAAAAAAAGACATATCTGTATCTGATATGGTTTAGATGTATATGTATATGTACATTTTACAAGTAAAGACTTTGTAAAGTAGTGATAGTTACAATATTTGTTTAAGGTTTGTCATAAAAGTAGTTTCTCAATTTAAATAGATTCATTTTCATTGTTACAGCAATGATTCAGAATCATTTCCCTCTTCACACCCTGGAGATTTGCGTGAGGGCGAGATAGGACATGATACAGCAACACATTAAAAAAAACAGTAATATTACAGCATGGGTTAATATCTAATTCTGTGACCACACTTATCATCACATACATTTTGTATCATCCTTTAATAAAGGGAAATGACATCTTTTTATAACACAATATTCAATTTCAACCGTAGATTTCAGCTTGGTCTTTAAATTAAGCACCTACTAACTCTTGCTGTGAATTTTCTTAAGAAATGTTTTTGGTAAAACTTGACTGACTTCATTATATTTAACTTTTTCATTAACAAAAATTAAAAAAAAAACAGTAATTCCTCTCATTTTCTTTGTGTCTCTCCTGTTCTGTGATTGGTTTAAATATCCTGGAAATAAAAGCAGAGCTCCTGTAGATTTTGTTTTTTGTCTCGTGTTCTCTGATTGGTTTAAATATCCAGGGGATGAAGGCCTAACTCCTGTAGATTTAGTTTTTTGTCTCGTGTTCTGTGATTGGTTTAAATATCCAGGGGATGAAGGCCTAACTCCTGTAGATTTAGTTTTTTGTCTCGTGTTCTGTGATTGGTTTAAATATCCAGGGGATGAAGGCCTAACTCCAGCAGGTTTTGTTTATTTCTGGCCTGTAAATTACTTCCGGACAACTCCCATTTACTTTTGGCACCGTCAATCTTGGTTACCAGGGAATTCAGTGATTCCTGTCAACAAACATCAATTGATTTTATGTTAAATACCAAACAACAATAACTCCTCTCTAACAAATACAGTCATTTTGTCTCAATCCTACAGTACAACAATTCTTAATTTCATAATCAAATTCATAAAAGTTAGATTTTTTCGCTTTAAATACTATGTTTAGGTGTCTATGGATCAATTCCTGTATGAGCACCAGTAATATCGCTATTCATTTCAATATTTTAAAAAAAACACAATAAAAAAAAAAGAAAGAAAACAAAACTTGATGGTTTTCCACTAGAAACACTTTTGGAGGAAAAAAAAAGGACTGAGGAGGAACTTGTCCTTTGATATATAGAGACAATACAGTCTTACTACAAGGAAAATGTACTGAAACTTCAACTGAAATTTATTTTTTTAAATATACATAAGTTTCTAATTTACGTTAAGATATGTATATCCTTATGTTCAAAGCATTAGGCAGAATGCCCTTACATGTATATGTATGTAGTACATATCATTTTAAATGTTGATATCAAGAATCATCAATATAATCGGACACGTGAATGTGATTCCAAAGTTAAGACTCTTGTCAAATTGATAAAAACATTGATGTGTGATTAAGCTGATAACGATGATTGTAACTCTACTATATTTGTGTGATTGTGGGCTGTGTTATGTAGACTCTATACATGTAGAACATTCACTGATCAATATATGATAACATGTGTCTTGAATAAATAAACAATTTTTTTTTTTTTTTTAATCATGATTATGGTTGATGTTCCTCATGAAATACTAGTGCATGTTTGATAATAGCGATTATAGCTGTAGAGGTTCCAGTAAACCAGATTAATTCCATATATGGTGTTTATTGAAATACTGACAATCACATTAAGAGATTTACAGTACATATACCGAGAAGTCATTATTTTTTGTGGGGGATTATTTTTCATTGATTTAGTGGGTACAATTATTCAAGGATTTGTTCACGAACTGTTAAAATCAGTACAAACAAATTAATAGAGCTACATTTATCCACAAAATAGTAATTTTTTGAAAAACCAAGAAAATTGAGCCCCACAGAAATATACAATTTTACAGTAATATTTTTTAAAGTAAAATTAACAAGGTGTATCTAATCTCAGTTTGTATCTCTGTAAAAGGTGTGAATAAATATTCAGCTGTAGTTAACAAAAAATACTCTACAGTGATACTGTCTTACCTCTATTTCAATCAAACATGATAGCAGCATGGAAGAACATTTTCTTAAAAATTTCTTTAAACTTTTACAGACCTGTTTAGACATTTGTACAATTGTAGGTAATTGTGGTGAAAATATTTGGAATGAAATTAAAACTAAATTTTTTCTACAATAATTATATTAATCTCTTTTGTTGGCCCCAAAGGAAGTGCGCTGGGTCTTACTGTGGGAGGAAACAAGAGTACCCTGGAAAACCTACATGGTCGGGAAGGTGACGCCATAGTTTTCCACATTCATTATTGTATTCGAACCCTGAACCTCTAGGTGAAAGAAGACTGTATTACAACTGCATCATCTGACCACCCATATAATTTGTGCACCTTCCCATCTAGATTTTGACATATTTTCCTGTCATCTTGGATTTACCTCCTAGGTTTGAAAAATTAGGCCCTTAACATCACTGACAAGTCCTATGTGGACAAAACAGTTGTATGATGCAGTTTCATTCATTATTTGGCAACACTGTATCAACCTGTAAACTGTGTGAAAAGGTGACAATTACTTATGGCTCTTTTGTACAATCTTTGTACAAACAAAATAAGATCCTTCACAACCTATTTCTCTTTATATCCAAGATTCAGTCAAGTTTTTTTCCCAATTCATTACAGCATTTAAAGTGATAAAAATTGGGCTCAAAATTTAATATTAGCCTTGTTTATAAAGACTGTTCTGAGAGCCACAGGACCTAATTTGCTGCACTCATGTCTAATAAAGACTGTTCTTAGAGCCACAGGACCTAATTTGCTACACTCATGTCTAATAAAGACTGTTCTTAGAGCCACAGGACCTAATTTGCTGCACTCATGTCTAATAAAGACTGTTCTTAGAGCCACAGGACCTAATTTGCTGCACTCATGTCTAATAAAGACTGTTCTTAGAGCCACAGGACCTAATTTGCTACACTCATGTCTAATAGAGACTGTTCTGAGAGCCACAGGACCTAATTTGCTGCACTCATGTCCTTTATCTTATTAAACGACAAACACTTACATCAAGAATTCTGATATACTCCTTTTCCATTACACGTATGTTGAGATTTAGCTTTTCTATTTCCTCGTCTTTTTCTCTGGTGATACGTTCCTTTTCATCCTCAGTCTCTCGTAGTTTTTTCTCTGTCTCTTCTGTAAATAAAGTTGATATAAGAAAATAAACATATGATATCTCCACTGTTTTAGTAGTGGTACAATTGTACCAGTGACATGTTTAAAATTTTAGAGTGAATTTAAAATTTTGAATTTTCTGTAACATCATACAAATTTGTACTACTAATAGTGTTTGTTTTAAAAAGCAAAAATAGAATAAACAGGGGATTTATTGAATGATTTTTAAGATAACACCTGAGAGACCCATCTTTTGTAGGCATAAGCGAGGTTTACAATGTCATTCGAGTGAATTATTAAATGGGACAAAAGTAACACAAAAATCTAGAGGATCTGTCAGTCACAGTACCATGAACAGACACAAATGGAATTGCTGTATAAGACTCATAGACACAAATTTCCTACCCCTCTATACAAAACATATAACATGTTTTACAATGATAACAAGAACAAGAAGATCAACAGAATTGTCTCCCTTTACACATCAATATTGATCTATCATTAGAGAGTTCAGTTATAACATGAACTTCCACTTTTAATACAGTTTACAAAACAGATCTTGCCGATTTCATTTTAATTTGAATAATTTCAGGAAAAGGAAGAGGTGATGAAAAACCTCTTCAGGATGAGAAGATAAAAATGATATTTGTGATCCTTAGGTTTAGAACTGGTACATGTCCATTTTCAGTTACCTGACAGATGTAAATGTATGAAATAAGAAGTGTAATGAATTGAAAATTAGAATACAAAGCCTAGGATATAGTCCTAGAAATCATTTGTTACATCTTAATCAATAACATACAAGTACAGGCATTATATACAGATTAAAAATGGGAATGAATGCTTAGAATGTATAAATGTTCTTTGAAAAATATCTTATAGATGATTAAAATTTTAACTGAATTTTGATCTCTTGTTTAATGACATCATTATTGTAAAAAAAATGATAGTGTGCAAAATATTGTATTTAAAAATAAAGATAACAATATGATGTTAAATTTTATGATTTTAAAAAATAGAATGACTAAAATTTGCTGGTTTTTTAAAAAATCTTTCTTCATGTGATCAACAGAAGGCATGAGTTAGCCTTATATAAATAATTTTCTAGTCAATTATTGCAAAATGCATACATGATATACATGTACTTATAAACATATCATTTCTCCAAAATGTCCATCCGTTATCTTGATTTGAACAGTGGATGCCATTTCTTTGATGCTTTGTGTTCTTTCAGCCTGATTTCAATTAATATGGTATTAAAAATTTAAAGGAGTAAGAAGATTTTGTATCTGAAAGTTACATAATTATACTTACTAAGTTTGGCTTCTGTCTGCATCAGTTTCATGTCAAGTGTATGCACTTTCAGTTGGAGGGTAGTTTGCATGCTTTTATAGGCAAGTGCCATTTCTGTTATTATAAAAACAGAAAATAAAAATTTTAGTTCATTCCAAACAATTATCTGAACATGCTTGGTATTTTTAATTGACGGCAATGCCTTTAACTGTTTGTTTGTTTATTTCTTTATAAAACTTTGAAACATTAGCTTATTTAATTTATACATTGACACAAAGTCACAGATAACTCAGCATAGGTGAGATGATGGAAAGTTGATCACAATTACCAGTCAAATTATCACATAAAACTCACAGCTTTGAATTAGTTACATATTCACACTTTGTTGGTACAGTGATGATTAGACTTAAAATGTGGTGTCTTATTAAGCCATCAACAGAATTTTGTCATGTTTCTAAATTTTTAAATGTCATTTGATCTGTTCATTTAATTTTACACAAATACAGAGCACATCTCCATTCATCAAGGTATAAGCAGTAATTCTAGTCACATTTCACAATTGAAACATGGACAAAACCTCAAAAGTTTTTGTTTGTGATGTGATTCTTTAAAAATATATTCTCTCCACCTGAATTAATTGCCTTCTGGTCTGCCTTCTGTTCCTCCATGTCCTTCTGTGCATCTTCCATTCGAGACTTCATCATGTTTCCCATGGCTTGTGATTTCCTCGCGATCTCCTTACGAATTGCTGTGAAAATTCAATACAGCAATCCTACATACAGAAAACCCAGTAAATCAATAAATATAACATTTACTAGTAATTAAAAACATCAAATATGGCAGTTATCATAAGGCGTGAGGTTAGAGCTAAATAAAGAAATCAAATCTGTTGATATTACCATTTCAGTTTTCTTTTCTATTAATGTATCAATTGCTCTTTCTTCTAAGATTAAAAACAATATGTTTCGGAAGTCATTATTTATTTCTATAACTCCTCGAGGATTTGAACCAGGACCACAAGCTAATAGTCTGACGCCAAGTGAGCTGAAGAAAAGTTCTCTCTAGCTGAGCATTATATTGTGGCTAATATTTGACCATCTTACTTTTCTCTTCTTTGTCAATTCTTTTACTATAGATACAAAGAGTAATCTAGGGAAAATACATTTGTTCAAATTATTACAATAAAACTTTAGTTTGGATACAACTCATTGTTTGAGGAAAACAACATCCACACATAAAAGTAGTCTTATTTACTGAAGTGAACATATTGTAATATTTACCAAGGTGATCTTTTAGTGCCTCTATTTCTGTCATCGTCTTTTTGTATTTGTCTTCAAGTTCTAAGGAGGCATCTGTGAAAAGGAAATAGAAAATATGAACATACTTGAAAAGTACGAAAAAGTTGTGGTCTGACCTCTATTAAGTTTTAAAATGGTACAAGTCTTTAAATGAAGAAAAGTGATTGACTTGATGCATAAATTGTTTCAAAAATATAAAAGTAAGGTTTGATAAACTATTTCCAGGGAACACCTACAATGGGAAATAAAGTGATAAGATTGCATGTGGAGTTAATCTGAATTATTTTGATGTTCTATCGACTTTTGAATATCAGATTTGTGTCGACTCCAAGCTGATGTATAAAAGTTGATAGAATGTAAGAATGATTTGGGTCACTCTGGTCAAGACTGAGACCAAGCGCCATTCACTGTGTGACAAACTCTGACATTAGACTGTCCCATCACTGATTGGTGTGTTCAATGTCAGAAGAAGCTGTTTAAAACAAAGAGTAACTGCTGAAATATGGCTGAACAAGATAAAAACCATTAATTTTTTGTTAAGATTCTTCCTTGGTACTAATTGATATCGAATCTCTGAAAATATCCCCCGATGAGTAACATTGTCAAACGTCCGATGAGTCCCAAGGAGGAATACAAACGGTGTTTTAAACCTGGAACCTAATATCTAACACTAACAATTGTAAACCAACAAAGCCATTTGTACCTGATTATCGTCCTTTTATGTTTGTACACCTGGTATAAATAGTTGTATCCTACTTGGTATTCAGGTTGTATCAGACCAATATATGTGATGTACATATAAAAATACATCGATAATATCATGGCTTCTGTTACAAATCCAAATGTGCACACAAATAAATGACACTAGAACAGTGCACATCAATATCGATGTTTTACAAAAACAGCACAACCGCTGTTTACTTTTATTTGATATTCAATAGGTGAGAGGCAATGAGCTATTAACAAAACCTTGAAAAGCAATAACAGCAGTCATAGAAATGAGGACGAAATCACCCTGCTTGTGCCAGGATCGAGAATTTAAAGCCACTCATCGACCCTAAGATCAACCTTTATCTCAGATTAAGTTCTCGATATGTAATAATTACCATCCTTCTTCTTTTTCTTCCCTTTCCCCTTTCCCTTTTTCTTTTTTGGAGGCATGTTTGTAGTTGAACACGCACTAAAATATGTTCCTCGTTTGTTGTCAATCAAGCCTGGTAGTCTCGCACAGAAGTATTTCTGTAATTTGATTGGATAAAATAAAAAGTAAGGGACATAACTCGTAAATTAATAAACTCCAACAGAAGGAGTCGCGGAGACGGAAAATCTGTCAACCAACCAACCGCAGTTTTCCGAACGCACAATATTTTATCTTTTTTTTTTCAGAGTCCCTAAAAGTTGGTTAAAATTAATAACTGGATTGCAAGGCTGATACAAACCAGGCACGATCAATCCATCCAAATGACCCAATCAGGAATCATACCCAATAATAGTGTATATAAAAGCAATTGTAACCGTCTATTAATTATCTATATCATCTCATACAATAAAAATGCTACAAGGAGTATTTCTGTTATTTTGGGACTAGTGTGAAAATTGTAATGATGTAACATGTATATGCCTTCGTCATTCACCAAACTCAGCCACGTAAATTCGTCCCATTTTACAGATTAAGTAACATCCAAAATTCCTGAGTATTTTCAAGGACGTTTAATACAGAGAGATAAGAAACTACCTACATGTATATCTCTGTGACGCTGTAGCGAAGAAGTTCGAGGTTTCTAATTTATATACCGTTTTTTTTTCTCAAAAAGTCATATAACATTTTTTTTTTTCAAAATAAACATAAATACGAAGTTTAATAATATGCATAGGTCAGTTTTGTGACCAGTCACAAGCAAATTCGATAGTGTTACTTTTGTTACGAAAATAATCAAGAGATTTACTTCTAACTTGTTAAAGAATTGCTGTGGTCAGTCCTGAATAATTTTGAACTCTATGATAATAATCATGACTTTTCAGACCTTTTGATTTGACCTGTTTCCTGGAATATAAAAAAGACATTTTTTGTACAAACTGGTTTGATTTCATCCCCTGAAACCTATTTAAAATATATATACCACAACCACAACCACCATCACCACTACCACTATCACCACCACCACAACTACCACCACCACCACCACCACCACCACCACCACTACTACTGCTACCACCACCACCACCACTACTATACTACTACCACCACCACTACTACTACCACCACCACCACCACTACTACTACTATCACCACCACCACTACTATTACTACTACCACCACCACCACTACTACTACCACCACCACCACCACCACCACCACCACCACCACCAACACCAACACTACTACTACTACTACTACCACTACTACCACCACTACTACTATTACTACCACCACCACTACTACTACTACTACTACTACTACCACCACCACCAGCAGCAACAGCAGCACTATTACTACTACTACCAATACTACAACCATCACCACCACTACTACTACTACTAGCACTATTACTACTACTACCAATACTACAACCACCACCACCACCACCACTACTACTACTACCACCACCACCACCACTACTACTACTACTACTACTACTACCACCACCACCACCAGCACCACCACCACCACCACCACTACTGCGACTACTACCACCACCACCACCACCACCACCACTACTACTACTACTACCACCACCACTACTACTACTACTACTACCACCACCACCAGCAGCAGCAGCACCACCACCACCACTACTACTACTACCAATACAACTACCACCACCACTACTACTACCACCACCACCACCATTACTACTACTATCAATACAACCACCACTACTACTACTACCACCAGCACCACCAGCACCACTACTACTACTACTACCAATACTACCACCACCACCAGCACCACTACTGCTACTACTACAACCACCACCACCACTACTACCACCACCACCACCACCACCACTACTGCTACTACTACCACCACCACCAGCAGCAGCACCACCATTACTACTACAGTGAAACCTCGCTATTAAGACCACTTTGGGGACTGGACATAGCAAGGTGGTCATAATAGCGAGGTGGATCAGATTGACCACAAAGAACCGTAACTCTGTTTAAAATAAAGAGTATATATATCATTAAGTAATGTACATGTATATTATTCAACAATAATAACTAATAATAATAAACTAAAATGTTGAATTTTATGAAATGCATGTAAAAAAGACAAAATTGCTGAATTGACAGAAGAATAATTATGTATATATTCCTTAGTTTATATTACAATATACATGTATATTTACTATTGTAAACATTGAATAAAAGGAAACAAACAATCCATTTTAATTTCAATTGGAATTTAACGTTAATTTTGCAACTATTTCACATAAATTTACGAACACATTTACTCAGTATTTGTAACAACTTTAATGAAGTCACTGTAAAGTCTTTCAACGCTTCATTTTTCACTTAAATTCGCAAACACATTATCTTTATCAGTGTATCACTCAGTACAACACATTTTTCTTTTCACTTAAAAAAAAAGAGTCCAGTGCACAATATTGCGAAGAGCTACAGATCTGGACAGCCTCCTCTTTCATACGTCCTTTTTACCGATCGCGATAGCTCGTTTCGTTTCCGTGGTTTCGTTATTGCTTGATAAAGTTCATCTGAGCTTTGTGACAGAGAAAATGTGTCGTAAAAAAATTGGAACACATAAACTTTTTTTATTATTCAAACGATATCGAGAGTGTAACATTGCTACAAAAACAGTTAAAAACCCTCGACAACGTGTGCGCGTGCAAGCCAAGGAATATCGGCCGAAACGACTACATAATTCACTTTTGGGTATTCAGGGCTTCTAAGGTGTTTAACAGCATACCTACCGATCTATAAATATATAATTAACAAACAACGGATCGCTATTAAAACGTGTCTAGCACGCGGTTTCGGACGGGTAGGCCAAGTTAATCCGATAATGATGTTTACTTCGTTTAACGCCACCTGGTGACAGGGTCGGTAACCCGTGACGAAAACAATGGTCGTGAACGACGCACATGTTCGCGGTTCACTGCTCACCAGGTAAACTTTAATCACTGGTCAGACCGTGGTCGTATTTGTGAGGTCAATTATCGTTAATAAGTGGTCGTTGTGACTGTAGGAAGTGGTCGTAATACGGACTAGCGGGGTGGTCGTAATACTGAAGCGACCAATACAAAGATATATAGTGGGAAAAAACGGGACTGAAAAAATGTGCCCGTAATAGCGGGGTGGTCGTAATTTTGAGGTGGTCGTTAGGTGAGGTTTCACTGTACTACCAATACTACCACCACCACCACCACTACTACTACTACCACCACCACCACCACCACCACTACTACTACTGTTTCTACTCGATTGCCAGATTTTATATCTGACAATTGTTTGTTGAAGTCAGGAATCATAACAGGAAAACCCACTTATTATGAGTACTTCAATTGTTCATATGAAGCACGGTTTATCTTACAAACACATACACCCTGGCACGGCCTCACAAACACATACATACACCCTGACACAGTCTTACAAACACACCCTGACACAGTCTCACAAACACACCCTGACACAGTCTCACAAACACATACATACACCCTGACACGGCCTCACAAACATATACATACACCCTGACACAGCCTCACAAACACATACATACACCCTGACACAGCCTCACAAACACATACATACACCCTGACACAGCCTCACAAACACATACATACACCCTGACACAGCCTCACAAACACACCCTGACACGGCCTCACAAACACATACATACACCCTGACACGGCTTCACAAACACATACATACACCCTGACACAGCCTCACAAACACATACATACACCCTGTCACAGCCTCACAAACACATACATACACCCAGTCACAGTCTTACAAACACGCCCTGACACAGCCTCACAAACACACCCTGACACAGCCTCACAAACACACCCTGACACAGTCTCAAAAACACATACATACACCCTGACACAGTCTCTCAAACACATACATAAACCCTGACACAGCCTCACAAACACCCTGACACAGTCTCACAAACACATACATACACCCTGACACAGTCTCACCAACACATACACCCTGACACGGCTTCACAAACACATACATACACCCTGACACAGCCTCACAAACACACCCTGACACAGCCTCACAAACACATACATACACCCTGACACAGTCTCACCAACACATACATACACCCTGACACGGCCTCACAAACACATACATACACCCTGACACAGCCTCACAAACACACCCTGACACAGCCTCACAAAACACACCCTGACACAGCCTCACAAACATATACATACACCCTTACACAGCCTCACAAACACATACATACACCCTGACACAGCCTTTCCAACACAAAATAAAACTCCTTTTTCTATGTATATCAATATTTTTGAAGTTTTTATCAATAGTTGTAATAGTGATTAGAAATTTGAAGAAATCGGACTTTATATATTGTTGGGCGCGGAGTATACACTATGTAGTTTTATTTTTAGAATCAGTTGAAGGGCTTCGAGATATTCCTGATAATTTAGAAGCTTATTGTCATAATTACAACCTTAATATAGATAAAGAGAAAAACATTAAAATGTATTTTTTAAGGAAGGAAAATACTAATTCCTTATTTGGTTTTAATTTTTTATCAATCATAAATTTTGAAATATAAAAAAATAACTCGCTGAATCAGGGCACAATGACATATTTGCATAATTTTCTAGATACTAAATTTCTAAATTTTCTATATTTTCAATATGTTGATATTACAACATATAAATACTGTATTGCAAAAACTATGATCCGTCATTTAAATACATATGTTTGTGTCATACTTTTACTATGCTAGTAAAGTTCGTGTGTATGTTTATCTGTCAAAAGAGAATCATTTTCTATACATTGAACGATATGACTTGTACTGATGGGACAATGGTCTAAAGTTTTGAATAAATCTTGAAATCTTGAACCTTGAAAAGGTGAAGGTAGGTTTAAGTAATTAATGGAAATAAACGCTGTGGTACATAATTAATGACGCGCTTGGCGGTTATAACACCTCACAACACATCCTTTTAAGGCAGTACGCGTTT